ACCTCCAGGACTCGTAAGAGAGACTCATACTGGCATTCCCATAGAGAAGCGAGAGAGCGAGAGAACTCCTCCGGAGAGTAACGAGAGCTTTTGCAGTTTTACTTCGCGGCGAGCACGTTGCAAGACGACTTCCTCGTGCTGAGTGTGTAACACGAAAGTCATTGTTATGCGATCGTTTCCGAGTGGATTCTACTGCTGGCTTATCGAAAGTCGTTCAACGTCTTTTAGTGACTTCTCGCGATCTTATTCGCGTTTGACGCGTGTTCGGTGACGCGTGCAAGCGGAATTAAACGCGATCGAAATGAATAGCGTCGGAAAAAGACGTAAATGTGAAACACACGAATTATCGTGAAGGAAAATAGGTTTTCACTTCACGCGCACCTCGTAGCGCGAGTTATGCGTATGATATACGAATTTTATCAAATAAAAAATTTTTTGTTACAGAAAAAAGAAAAAAAATTGAAATTTGTTAAAATGGGACAGTGTAAAATGGAAAAAAAGCTTATTGTTCAACAAGTTGACAGCGCTTTGTTCCTAAATTTCACGAATTTCACGAGCATTATCCGCCGCGGGACAATATCTTGTTGTACTTGGCGTAGAATGAAGGGATTTCCTTCCGCCGATTGTAATCAAATACTCGTTCGACCACCCACGCCGTCGCGACGCTCGCGTATTCATATCTGGTCTGGATCGACGCCAAATCGAGAGCTCTCAAACGCTCGTCGTAAACAACCACCTAAGATTGATAACGCTTTCATATGCCACCCTTGAATGACAATCCAGACCAACGTACGCCCATTTTTCTTTTGCGTTTTTTTTTTACGATTTACTTTCTTTTTCACTTTGCCCGTTCAGGATGACATGAAATGCGATTGGAAGCGCATGATAAAATGCGATGCAATGCGATATTTCGTATAACAGACGCGAATAAACGCGGATGTCTACACAGTTCTAAAAAAATGATGAATGAATAAGTGCAAGATATTCTAGAAAACATTAACTGCATATTTCAAAACGTTCACATTCACGTCGCATTCAATTTATCTAGTCATTAGCCGTCTAATTTGAAGGCAAAAAAGCAAGTGTTTATCTATATTAAACTATAAAATTGTTTATAAATAAAGAAAATGTCAATATATATAATTATTTTAATTTTCTGCTGTCTGCCTCAAAATTGTGTTGCCTTAGAAGATTTGGGCATCTAACTTTCTTTCCTTTTCCTAACTTTCTACTCTCCTTAACGATAAGGAGTAAGCTAAGGATAAAGTTTAGGGCTTAATGTAGGATAATTCTTAAACTGACTTTTACACTAAACTTCATTCTAAGCTCAGAAAGCAGATTTAGCGTTTCTGATTCAACTGTTAAAGCTTCTCCCCCAAACTCCGAGATTATGTGTGGCTGCTTTCGCAGGAAAGTGGGATCTCGTAACAATTTCAATTTGATTTCTAAATATGTCGGATTTGAGTTGCTTGATTCCCTTCTCGAATTGCAATCATAAAGAAAGCGTCGAATCTTTCATTACGTTTTTACGCGCATTAAAGTCGTAAGCTTGTAATATTCAGTAAGAATAGTGAATGGAATCTCTTGAAGAAATACCGGAGATATTCTCTGTTGGCGAAATCACGTTTCACCGCGCAATAACACACCGTGATGGCCACTGAATTAAACGTCTCATAAACGTGCGATTGAACTCGATCGTTATCGCTTTATCGGTGGCAATAAACGTGCAACCCATCTGTCCTAGATATTTCGGATTACGAGCTGCTTTACTCGTTACTCTTCTTACGACCACAACAAAAATGTCCAAAAATATTTATAACGTTCTCTTTTTTTTTCGCAGAAAAAAAGTTTGACATCAATTTCGATATCATTGATTATTCTAAAATAAAAGCTTCAAATAAAATATATCTATAAACCTGTATAACTATGATCACTAGCGGATCCTGATGTCGATAATAGGGGGGGTTTTGACCTACTTTAATGCATTTTTACCAAACATGGACAATACAGGCGCGCGCTACGCGCGCGCACTTATTACGGTAATTTAATAATTAAGAAATCTAAATATTTTAATAAATTTTTTAATTTTAAATAACCGTCAAAATAACCTTCGCTCTCAATCTATCAAACTATCAGAATAATCGCGATAACCAATCAGCGTCGCGGAAAAGCGTCAACAATACTTTCGATACATTCGAGTATCGATCTTTCATGCCTTTTTTAAGAGTGAATTCTTGAAACGGATTCAGCAAAATTGATTTTTTTTAACATGGAAGGGGGGGGGGGTTTAACCCCAAAACCCCCTCCCTCAGGATCCGCTAGTGATTATGATTAATTTGATAAATAATTCGTCCGTGCTCATTCACAATCGCTTCTAAAATCTCGCATCGACGGGAAATGAAAAGTGACGTATGTCACTATTTTTTTTCTCTTTCATGGATAACAATCGCACAGCTTTCACGGGATTGCGGTTACTCCCCCCCCC